CCCGTCGAACGTCCTGTTGGAACGTGAGGCCGTATGGATCAAGACGGTGAGCCACAGTGGAGCCCAGTGAAAAACAACCTTTCCGCCGATCATCCGAACTGGCGGGAAAAGGCGAGGGACGTAGAAAAAAGGGGTCCCTTCATGTCAGCCTCCTCCCGGGTTCCGCCGGGCAACCCCTGAGGGCGCTGTCGGCCGGGAGCGGTGTGATCGCCGATGCGAAACGAGGTGGGATGGGGTGAGCATTCACTCAGCCCCCCTCCACCTACACTACGCTCCCCAGGAGGGAATGAGCAGCGGGGGCTGCAGCTGAGCACGCCTTGCCCCGGAGGAACCATCCGGTTCGCCCCGAGGGTCGGCGATAAGAGGAAAAAACACAATATGGCGTTGTCCAGCATGTAGTGACCTGTCACTGGGAAATGTTCCCCGACGCTTACCTTGGAATAAGACTGCTGTCATCTTCTCCTCGGGGAGGAGAACTCACCGGACGACCGGAGGTCGACTGCCGGGCCAAGCATCCTTCACAAAGGTTGGTCATTTACACAATTTATCTTCTTTGTTCTTCTGACAGTGCTATATTAGCTCGCTGAAGAAAAAATGGGAGCCGATTTCCCGCTCTTAACGTAATTTATACGGACCGGGTGGGGCCCACACAGCAGGTGGGCGTGGACTAATTTTTTCAGTGCTTATGCTCTGCATAACGGGATAAACCCACTAAAGCGAAGGCCTTAAAGGGCGAAGCTTATACGACATAGAACCTATAGTTAGGGTTGGCTTATGCTGTCTTAAGTTTAGACTACTAGGGCAAATTGACCTCATTTCTTTGAATGAATTGTTAAAATTGAATAGTTTTCATTTGATACTATTTCTATCTTAACATGTGATTCTTGACCTGCCATTGTGTATCTGTTCCTCTCAAACTCAGCTGGTCGAAGCAGATGACCACTTGTCCTGAGCCTGGTTCTGCTAAAGGTTTCTTTCTCGCGAGGGAGTTTTTCCTTTCCAGTGTCGCCTTCATGCTTGTTCAAGATGAGAGTTCTGTGATGGAGTTAAACTCAATGCAGTCTGCTCCTCAGATAAATAATGTTAAATTATTATTTTTTAATATCAATGTTTCTGTTCAGTGCCCAGAGACGACTTCTGTTGTGACTTGGCGCTATATAAATACACTGATTTGAATTGAATTCATTAAACTCATCAGCCACTTTCTTAAACTAATTCAGGACATTTGAGTATTGTTCACTAACTCCTGTAGTATAAAACAAACTAAAACCCTTGTACAGCCATCAGCTGCTCCAACCATTGGTTTTATACTGTAGGTAGAAGAAACATTTCTCCTCTGTCTCAAACAATGCAGTAACAAGAGATTTATATGAATATTAGCAATGTCATTTTTTATCTTTATGCTGTAACCAAGCCATGTTACTTTGTAAAAAAAAAATGGAACAAGAGTAGAAAATACAGTGTAGAACTGGGGAGACATGGATAACAGTGTGTGTAAAGTCAGCTTCATGCCTGAGGCGTATTACCACCTTCACTTCCCAACTCTCAGCTCACATCCTCCAAAGGTCTAAAGATGAATATTTATGCCTCGGAACTCAGAAGCAGCTCAGTTTTTAAAGGTGAATGGGCAAAGTTAAGTTTACGGTATCACAACGTGATATAAGAGTGAACAAACTAACACGTAGAGCATTTCAAACGAGAGGTGATCTGCGCGTCGAGACGAAGAAGGTGGAATTCTCCACCGTGGGTCAGGAAATGTGCACGTGTGTGCGTGCTTATTTTGCTGTTTCCTCCCATGCATAAAAAAATCATGCTCGTCCTCTGCTGCAGTCTGCAGAGCAGATGCTGAGCGACATATTTATGAGTAGTTTGTGCAAAGTCCTGAGGGACAGCCAGAGGAGGAACTCGAGACCACCGTTTTGCGCTCTATATGACAAAATATCAAAATAAACTCACCTGACTATATAAAGACAAGTGATGTTCCAAACACAATAAAACTGCACGGTTTGTATGTTTGGATAAGAGAATTAACTATAGTTATGGTTCCATGAATGTCAGGTAATTTATTAATTGTGCATAACCACAGAAACCCATCTTAAAGGGCTGAAATATTTTAACATGTATAATTTATTAATTTTTAATATGTGTAAACAAAATTTTCTACGTTTTAAAATATAAACATGATACAAATGTTTTTAAAAAAAAGTTCTTAATTAAGTCAGCGAGATTTAACAATGCTACAAAGTGAAGTGGAGCTCCCGGTGCTGCTCAGTATAGAAGAATCTTAACCTTAAACACCAGAAAGGGCAGACACACGCTGCAAACTGAAAAACACCCAAGATAATTTGGGAGAAAAAAAAAGCTGCACACGGAGGACGCTATCGTGGGACTCGATGTTCAATAGAGTTCACGTTCCATTTCAGCAGCTACTTATCCTTTAAGGACACAGAGAGCAGGATTTGCGACTAAAATGCAAATAATCTATGATCATTAAAACTTTTCTGCTCTTTTAGAATCCCTGAACATTTGACTTAATGACTTTGTTTGATCTGTGATTAGCTCCTTAATGGCTTTGGAATAATTCAGTACATGTTTCTGCCTCGTGTGACCCAGATTGTCCACCCATGCATATATGAGGGGGCTGTATTGTTTCTAGAATAGCACTGCAGCTTATCTACCACTTCAAAACAGACTCACCATCAGCCTGTTTACTTATGTTATGATTCTATTTAGGTTTCATTTATTTATTGAGGTCCGTTTTCAAGTTTTTCTCCGTTATGTTTAGTTTCTGTATTTTCTTTGTGCTCATTTTTTCATTTTTTATTTTTTTGCCTCCGTGTGTTTTCTCTGTGCCTCCAGTCCATTTCCCAGTACTTCACACAGTTAGTCTCTGTTCCTCAGTCCTGCTAAGCTCATCTAGAACCGCTCTTGGTTGTAATTTTGCTCAGGTGTCTCCACTCCACTCACCAGCTCTGTCTGTAAAGTCCCTGTAAGTTTGTCATTCATCTTCAGCTGAGCATTGTGTGAGCTGTCCTTGTGCCTCCTTCTCATCATCCACCCAGTTAATGTGACTTCTGATGTCTCGTTAGCATTTTTTTTTAGCCTAAAATGTTTAGTTTTAGTGTTTATACGCAGTAAGCTCCACCATGACATTACCTTTGCTTTACATATATGTAATTTTACATCAGTCAACAATGTTTGATATAAACTTGCTCTGGTTTCTTACCAGTAAAAAACAGATGAGTTACATCTCAACTAATAAAACCAGTCTCTCTTAAACTCATATTCACAACGAAAACCTTTTTATTAAGAATTTGCATATCAGCTGCTGCCTTGCATGACAAAATATTGAACAGAGGTTTTGCAAAACTTGTTTGTGTAGCATTTTATGGGTTATTTGGCATATTAAATCTATAGTGTTAATTCAGAGTGGGACCACAGACATTTGTCTAAGTCTCAAGAGTGATAAGATGTCGAAAAGGGAGCACACTTCAACTTGACAAAAGGGGGAGGAGCTATTGCAACACTGATCAAGTAATTGTGATAGTAGTAATAAAAAAAAATCTTTGCATTGCATGTGCCATTTTGCAGATCATGTTTCACATCATTAACATCATTACAAAGGACTGCAGACCAACGCTGTCTTCAGTATGAAAAAAGCATCTAATGTAAAAGTTACACTGTAAAATAAAAGTTTATGGAAAAATGGTTGAATTAGATTGGCGATTATTTTAGACAACAGAAATCTGCTTTCAAATTGGGTTAGGATTTAGGATGAAAAACTAGGGTTGGGTTACAAGAACCTCTCCAAACTGAGGTTGTTCACATTGTTACTGCAGGTAAGACACTGCCTGTTAAAGGCAACTTCACAGAACCCCACTTAAAAAAAGTTTTCTTTCAGAAACTTACACATTTATGCACATTTATTGCTTTTTTTTGCTTCTTCTCAGCGCACTTCATCTGCTCTGGGAATAAAAATTGCAGCTTTTATTCCGCGTGTTTTTAATTTCCTCATTTCTGTTAAAGATTGTGTCTTACTCTTCTCAAAAATATGCAACCTAAAAAATGTGATTATTAATTATCTGGGATTGCTTGTCTGGTGTTAGCTTCTTTGCATCAACACACACATACATGATGCACACTTGTAAACCAGTGTAGAAATGAGACCAGACATGACTTTGTACTAACTCAAATGTGATTATAGATGAAAAAAGATACTCGATTTGTTGTAATACAAGCCTCAGGTGCTTTATTGTACCTTTATGTGGATATCTACTTTTTTAGATTTTTCTACCAGGATTATTGAGCAAGCATCAGGATACTTTATGTGGATAAAAGTAGAAGCTGTAGAAGAGAAACTGAACTGCGTAACAAAATGTGGAAACAGATCATTAAATCCCAATATTGAACCTTGTTTATCTTAAACGCTGACTTAGCCACAAAGAAATAATCATTACAGGAAGTCTGGTCCTGCAAGAAAACTTGTTTCCACTGAGGGCAGTACCTGTATATCTTCTACTGCCCTCTGTGGAAAGTTTCTTGCATTCCCACACTAAATAGTGTTAACTGCAATAATAGAGATTTATTTTATAATCCTGTGAGCTGAAACCCTCTACAGACGTCCACTTGCAAAGCAGAGGCTTAGCCGGTTTCACTCAAAGGTAATAAAGCACATCACAGTTGAGCACTGAGCTGCACAATGGCTGAAGTGAATATTGACCTTGCACCATCATCACAGAATGAGGAAATTTACACAGAACTGATGTTAAATGAAACCCTGCTGAACGTATTGTGTTAACTCATGTGAAATTAGTGATTTCAATCGATTTTGATGCTGAAAAGATGGTTTCTGTATTAAAGCAGCGCTCAAGATTATTAATTTATTACAGATGTGAACATTGCATTTACTCTGCTATACACGATCATACCCAATAAGCCACATCGTGTCAGATCAAATCTGCATGAAAAAGTCAAGGAGTGCATTAAAAGAACCACAGTACCTTTAGTGAGATTTCCTGAGACTAGTCTCTGCAGGGACTGGATTAACTTCTGCACCCCCTGCCTGCAGCGGCTGGTACAGCCATCCATCCTGCGAACAAGGCTGTTGCAGATGGGATGGGTTTCCACCAGTACCAAGACTTTGCTGTAATTTTAGGATGTGGTCCTTAATGTGAAGAGTCTCCTTCAAAAGCTTCTGCAGAGTGATATCAGCAGGGGGGGTTAGGAACAGGGGAGCCTCATTCCTGCAGGAGATGGATTTATTTGATGTTAAAAACAGAACATCACATGTGCCAGCCTTTTAACTTACTCAGGTCCATTCTTCCTTTTTATTTTGGGAAAGAAGCCCACAAACTACCAGGGAACACACACACTCCTGTACACACAATCTGTGGCAAAGTTTATAGGCAGGCAACAAACCAGTGCCAGAAATGTACTTTGTACACAAAACTTTAAAAAATGTAGTAAAAAATAAATATTGAAATGATTCACCAAAGTTTCAACAGAGCAAAGGGTTAATACACTTTTTTTTTTTTAGAAATACAAGTAAATCACTGAATGAATCCTAAATAATCCTGTTCTCCCCTCTGAAAGTTTTGTCAATCTAAGAAACAGCAACCTTGTCTAGATGTTACTCACTTTCTCCATCTCCTTTCCTTATGTCACGAAAGCTTTTGAGCTGGTCCTCCTGCGCAGCAGATATTTGGGGGCGAGGTTATCTTGTGGACTGCAGAGGCAGCCTGGCGGTTCTGGTCTGTGGAGGAGTTCTGCTCTGGTGTTCTCAGCAGATCTGAGCTGCAGAAAGCACCAGCAGCCACCACACTGTTCCCTCTCTCCCTGCGACGTGGTCCCTCCTCCTGACTTGCTTTTATGCTTCCTCACTCTCTGTCTGACTGCTCCTTATTCAGCCTTCTTTTTTCATATGCATGCACGGCTGCATGATCCAGCAAACAATCTGCAAAGTTAGGTTACGAAATAGGAGAAGGCTCGATGCTCTCTGGAAGTTGACCTCTTAACATTCATTATGTCTGCACAACTGTTTAATATAACACTGACAACTTTAGTGCCAATAATACCTCTGCATTTACAGGTGCTGGTCATAAAATTAGAATATCATGAAAAAGTTGATTTATTTCTGTAATACCAATCAAAAAGTGAAACTTGTATATTATATTCATTCATTACACACAGACTGATATATTTCAAATGTTTATTTCTTTTAATGTTGATGATTATAACTGAAAACTAATGAAAACTCCAAATTCAGTATCTCAGAAAATTAGAATATTATTTTAGACCAAATAATTATTATTATTTTTTTTTTAGAAATGTTGGCCAATTTTAAAGTATGAACATGAAAAGTATGAACATGTACATCACTCAGTACTTAGTTGTTGGGTCCATTTGCCTGGATTACTGCAGCAATGTGGTGTGGCATGGAGTTGATCGGTCTGTGACACTGCTCAGGTGTTATGAGAGCCCAGGTTGCTCTGATAGTGGCCTTGAGCTCTTCTGAATTGTTGGGTCGGGTGTATCACATATTCCTCTTCACAATACCTCATAGATTTTCTATGGGGTTAAGGTCAGGTAAGTTTGTTGGCTAATTAAGAACAGGGATACCATGGTCCTTAAACCAGGTACTGGTAGCTTTGGCACTGTGTGCAGGTGCCAAGTCCTGTTGGGAAATTAAATCTTGCATCTCCATGAAGTTGGTCAGCAGCAGGAAGCATGAAGTGCTCTAAAACTTCCTGATAGATGGCTGTGTTGACCATGGACCTAAAAAAACACAGTGGACCAACACCAGCAGATGACATGGCACCCCAAACCACCACAGACTGTGAAAACGTGACACTGGACCTCAAGCAATGTAGATTCTGTGCCTCTCCTCTCTTCCTCCAAACTCTGGGACCTTGATTTCCGAAGGAAATGCAAAATTTACTTTCATCAGAGAACATAACTTTGGATCAGTCAGCAGCAGTCCAGTCCATTTTTTCTTTATCCCAGGTGAGACGCTTCTGACAATGTTGCTTGTTCAAGAGTAGCTTGACACAAGGAATGCGACAGCTGAAACTCATGTCTTGCATACGTCTGTGCATGGTGGTTCTTGAAGCACTGACTCCAGCTGCAGTCCACTCTTTGTGACTCTCCCCTACATTTTGCTCTCCAGGGTGCAATTATCCTTATAGCTTGTACACGTTTTTCTACCACATTTTTTTCCTTCCCTTCACCTTGCTATTAATGTGCTTGGACACAGAGCTCTGTGAACAGCCAGCCTCTTTAGCAATGACCTTTTGTGTCTTGCCATCCTTGTGCAAGGTGTCTATGGTCGTCTTTTTGACAACTGTCAAGTCAGCAGTTTTCCCCGTGATTGTGTAGCCTACAGAACTAGACTGAGAGACCATTTAAAGGCCTTGGTAGGTGTTTTGAGTTATTTAGCTGATTCGAGTGTGTTTTGAGTTATTTAGCTGATTCGAGTGTGGCACCAGGCGTCTTCAATATCACGTTTTCACAAAATTCAAATTTTCTGAGATACTGAATTTGGGGTTTTCATTAGTTGTCAGTTATAATCATCAACATTAAAAGAAATAAACATTTGAAATATATCAGTCTGTGTGTAATGAATGAATATAATATACAAGTTCACTTTTTGATTGAAATTACAGAAATAAATCAACTTTTTCATGATATTCAAATTTTATGGCCAGCACCTATCTATTTCTGATGGATTTTTGAAGGATGCCAATGTAGCTACTGTCCAAAGTTCAATCTTATAAAAATCCAAGCTACAAACATTGCATACATTTTGGTGTATAAATACAAGAAGCATAAAAAGATCCAATGAAATGGTAAAGCTGCTGCCAGTGGCTAATTATCATCGCCATGGTAATCACACGCATGTGCCTGCACTCCCTGCCAAGTCCTGACAAGTAATCCATCCATCCATCCATTTTCTTTACCCGCTAATTCCATTTTGGGTCACGGGGGTCGCTGGTGCCCATGTCCAGCAATCACTGTGCGAGGGGCGGGGTACACCCTGGACGGGTCGCAAGTCCATCACAGGGACACATAGAGACAAACGAGACAAACAACCATTCACTCTCTCACTCACACCTAGGGACAATTTAGTGTTACCAATCAGCCTAACATGCATGTTTTTGGACTGTGGGAGGAAACCGGAGCACCCGGAGAAAACCCATGCATGCACGGAGAGAACATGCAAACTCCACCCAGAAAGGCTCCTGGACCGGGGTTTGAACCAGGGACCTGCTCGCTGAGAGGCAGCAGCTCTACCAGTTGCGCCACCGTGCTGCCCCTGACAAGTAATCATAAGCGTGAAAACTATTAGTTGTAACATAAAAGAGTCCCAGAGTAATGAGAAACACACTGGCTGAAAAAAAAAGAATAGCCTTGCCCACATTGTGATGTATGATTTGTAAAAGTACTACGAATGAGCAAATAAAAAGTTTGTTTGCACAAGATTAGAAAATGTTAGACAATTCAAAAGTCTAACATTGTCAACTGTCCAACATTTTTCAGTCAGGTCATCTGGACAGTTTTTTTTTTTGTTTTTTTTTTTGTGCTGAAATGTTTCGCCTTCGATCCAGAAGGCTTCATCAGTCAAGGAAACACACAACACAAAACTGATTATTCCCCCAACAGCTTATTCCAAAGTGGAACAAACCAGTTATGTTGGTGCTAAGATGGTCTCTTTGGTACGCCCTCTCCTCCATTGCCGGCCCTCTTCCTTGATGACAGTCGTGTCAAACTGGATGAAAACAACAAAGTCCATGCTCAATAATCCAGGTATACAATCCAACATTTGTCAGTCAGGAAACTGTCCAGATTTGACTGAAAAATGTTGGATTGTATATCTGGATTATTGAGTATGGACTTTGTTTTTGTCAACTGTCGGTGTAAAAATCTCCAGGAGTCAGAAAACCTTGTACAAAAACACAAAAGATACAAAAATGCCAGTTTAACCCTTGTATTATGTTGAGAAAAAAATACGTTTATTATGTTGCGGGTCATTTTGACCCGCATTGTGTAAATCCACTCAAAACAGTCATAAAATGAAGTTAAACCAATAAGAACTTTATTTTAGATTATACAAATATTTAGAAGAGATGAGAAGTAGAGATATACACTTCCAACACTATATTAAAGAACTCCTGATTTCAATTTTTCCCTCTTCACGAACCCTTTTTTTTTTTGCATTTAACTTGCCGCATTTTCTCGGGTTTTTGACAGTCAACATTTTCAGCGTTCCCCACATGATGGACAGAATGTGACTATGTGCTTTTTGCAGATGTATTTCTTGCATCTCACACAAGAGGTAGTTGTTTTACTGTCATCTCGAGAGGGACAGACTTGGCATCTTTTGCGTTTCTTTGTACCTGTATCCAAAGGATCCATTGTGGGTTGGTCAGATGCCCTGCCCTGGACCTTTGCGATGACAGCAGCAGCTGCTGGGGATCTAGCTGGCCTGACCCGGTTCTGGATCTTTGGAGTGACGAGTGCTTTGCCTAGTTCTTCCAGGAAAAGTCGACGTCGGTACAGTTTGCTGGCATTCCACTGCTGGTTGATCTCAATCCACAGCACATAGGCATTGTAAGCAGACACATCCAAAATGTTGTAGAAAACCACCAAAGGCCAACGGGCAGTCTTGCGCTGACAACTATATGTTGCTGTGACTTTGTCAAGATTGTCAACTCCCCCTTTTGTGGAGTTGTAATCCAGAATCATTTGCGGTTTCATGTCCTCTCGTGTGCTCAGAGATGCGTCTTTGTGCATTGTGCTCATCACAAGAACATTCTTGTTTCTTTTTGGGCAGTAAGAAACAAGTGTTGTTTTCTCTGTGAAAGCAAATTTTGAGGAATGCAGAGGTCTTCCTTGCATCTTCAGAATCTCACTGGGAAGTTCTGGCTTATTTTTTCTGACTGTTCCCAACATAGTCAGCTTTCTCTTCTGAAGTTCATCTCCAAGACGGTAGGATGTAAAGAAGTTGTCACATGTAATGTTATGACCTTGCAGCCCTTCAGTCATCTCCAAAACCACACGCATTCCCTGATTCTTCTCAGGTCTTCCTCCAG